GCGCGCAGTTTTTCGCGCTTACTGGCAACTGTTCCCAACTCCTTTTTTGCAAGGCGCCGCCAGCATTTTTCCTCCCACCGGCACCCATTTATCTACTCATGTGAGTTTTCGACCGTAACAGAATGTACCAGTGCTTCCTCCCACAACATAGAATACAATTTTTCCTCTTCTGCCATTTTACCATTAGCACCTTATAGCAATGCCATAATATCACACAGCCATCACTGAAATGATATGAAGTCTGTCCTCATTATTATTACTAATGCTGGAAAAAGCTATGGAGCTTTTTCAGTACATGGAAAGAGCATGCGAATCTGAATCCAACCAGCTATGGTTCTTTCATTCTCTCTCCCCCACTTATCTGCATATTATTTTGATTCCTTCTAAAAATGGAATAGTGATATAAATCTGGCCACAGGGTCAAATGTTGCTGGAAAAGATCTTATGACATACAGGTCGTAACAGACATACTGGTTTTAACTTTTTTCAGTAGAATTAAATATTTTTGAATAATTGCATCAACAGTAACTTGCTAATCGAACTATTTTTATATCAGTGAGAGTAATTACTTTCCATACCACTGAATTTATTATTTATTAATACTTTGAAAGTAGTCTCATACAAGTCTGAACACTGCATGAACTTATAGTTTAAAAATTCAGAAGCAAAAGCTGGGCAACTTTCCATCAGAATGTGGGGTAGGAATAATTTGTACATTATACTGAATATGAAGATTATTCTTTACCATCTTCACTGTTAGAGAGATGAATGATTAGAAATCCTGACATAGATGGGGGGAAAAAGGTCCTTGAATATACCAATTGACTTAGGCATACCCTACCTTATGGCTATAATTCTACTTCCATGCAGTTCCCAAAAGCAAGTAACAAGTCTTTACAGGCTACTGACATTGCCAGACCAGTGTTCAACCTGCCCTCTGGCACAGATATCTATGCAGGTGGGCAGGAAGGCAGAGGAATATTTGCTGTACTTATTTGCAAGGCTGATGATGAAAGCTAGTACAGCACAGTGACTAATAGTGTAATTAACCATACAAGCTGGGAAGTTTCGGGCTCAAACCATGACCTGGGTGGCCTTAAGGGAAACCACAATTCTCTTAGCCTTCACATTCAGCCACTGAGATAATTATATTGACCTACTTTACGGGCTTACACTAAAAATTACTTTAGTAATGACTGCAAACTTGTGCTTTAAACACAAGGCTTTTTTGTTGGTAGTTTGTGAATATCTCACATCAGTGACACAGTTGAATCTAAGAGGGACCATGAAATGTCTCATCATTTCATTTTTGAAGGGAAAAAAATGGATAAAGCTGGAAAGACAAAAAGACCAAAACAGGGAAGAGAAAAACAAACGAATAAGAAAAGTGCTTTCAAACCAGTCCTTTAGTGTATAATTACCTGCCTCATTCAGAAATTTTTATAGGACAGGGATCTAGCTAACAACCATGACCACTATAACTATGCATGTTTCCATTGTTTTCTCTGACTTTTTTATTATACTAAAAAGCAATTTAACAAGAAAAAAGGGAAATAATTGCACAGGGTAATCTGACAGTTACTGCTAAGATTTGCCATAAGGAAATCTTCCAAGAGAAATTGCAGGTGCATAATTAAAAGTAGATAATGTTTCAGGCTAGGTTTAACTTTAAAAGTTAGGTCCTGACTTTGAACAGTTTGAAAACGTCAGCTGGTCTGAAAGACTGTATGTTTGTTATAATAATTAATTGCTAAAATAAATCCAAGAAAAGAAAGCACCAAAGAAAATTAGAGAAGATCAACATATCTCACATTTGGGGAGAAAAACTGAACAAGCTGTAAAGAAGAGGTAAGGGAAACAGCATGTGAAAAAAAAATCTGTATCTGTTCTTTAACAATACATCTGCATCCATTACATATTTGAAAGGTTTCCTACCTGCAAGTTTCAAAACCAAGAGTAAAGGCTTTCTCCATCTGCTCCCATGTTGGGATGGTACTATTGAGTGCTTTGCAAAGCTCAACAGCCTCTTCTCTTGTAAGGCTGTAGCGATGATTCTTCTCTACATGGAAAACACCTGCATATCTACAACTTATATTCAAATCTGTTCATTGGAGGAAAAACAAAAAGAAAAGAGCATTATCATGAGAAAGATAGCAAACAGCATTACAACAAACATTATGTCACAATGGCTGCTTCAGAACTCTAATAATCTTTTGGTGAGATTATTAAATCCTTGAGGTAATCTATTTTAACCAACTACATGAATCAGAAGAACTGCAACTTTTTTTTTTTACAATAAAAGTTTGAATACTACACAATGTAATTTATCTCTGCTTAATGGTGGACTGCAGTGCACAAAAGTGCCTTGGAAATGGTATTTTGTGCCATAATAAAGATTTCCATGTCTTCCACCAAGACTGTAACATGTTTGACTTAGTGTCCTCTTTATATGCATCTTCTATATAATTCCCGTTAGCATAAGCCTCCTCTTAATTCTAGCTCTACTCTAAACACATTAATGTATTTGAACCAAGATTCCTTGCTAATGAACAAAACAAGTATTTGCAGCAAACAGAATAAAATGACACTTGAACTGCAACATTGGAGCAGAAGATGATGTCTTGTCAACTATGTAAGCTTGTCTACTGATGAGGCAATACAAACCTTGTCCAGAAACCAGAGGAACAAGAATGCATAAATCTATTTATGGTTCACTAAGGATCAGACTGTGGTCAAAATAATGAACAACATTCCATTGGCCAGAAATTGTAGATTTCTGAATTTAGAATTTTATAGTGATTTTTAAGCATAAACCAATGTGAGAGAGACAGATGTCCAGCAGCGATCCTACATATCACTGCTATATAATAAAATTACATGCCAGGTATGTTATGTCTCTCCTACAACTACATCAACAGGACCATCATGGGCCCCAACAAGTACACACACAAGATTAGAGGCACCTTCACATGCTTTTCCTCCAATGTGATATATATCATTATTTGCCAGCAATATATCGCTAGATTCTACACAGGACAAATAGGACAAATTTTCATGAAAGAATTAATAGACATGTTCGATATCAGGACTCAAAACAAGGACAAAGTAATATCAGAGCATTTCAACCTTCCTGGACACTCTGTAGCAGACCTCAACAGGTGACTGTTTTGGAAAAATGGGAAAGCCATTAAGTGAGAAATTGTTGAACTCATGTACATCAAAATGTTTCAGGCAATCTCAGATCTCAACAAACACAATAGCTTTTTAATGCATTACAATTGTTAATTGAGAAGATCTCATGTGTAATCTGCATCAGCGTAATCATCCTATCTTCCCTTTCTTTCCCTTCCACCCCAATTTAAATCCTATATCAGTGTAGCCACTCTGTGCATGATGAAGTGAGTTGCAGTTCATGAAAGCTTATGCCTTTTAATAAAATTTGTTAGTTGGAAAAATGCTACCAGGCACCTAATTTTTAATATGGCTGTCCTCTTGCACTATCATGTAAGTAGAACAACCAAGTAAAAATGGGAAGGAATAGGTTTAACTGCTTTGATACATGCTGCCAGCTAAGGAAGGGAGAAGACCAGCTAGGTCCTTTAATTATTGAATCTAAAAGTACTTCACCATTTCACTGAAACAAAACAGAAGGAAAGAAAGAAAGGGAAGGAAGCTAGTTACTCCCAGACACGAAAACAAAACAGTCCCTTAGACTTGTGTCATTAATCACAGTTGGAGCCACACATAGCAAGCAAAGGTTTTCACAACACAGAGGTATGAAGTCTCCATGGTGGGCCATTTCCTCAACATGAACTTTTACTCCCCAAAACTAGCTGGAAGACACATCTCTGTTCTACTCTATGCAGACAATTCGTTCAGCGACCGTTTGAAATAACTACGTTGCTGAAAAAATGGACTTACGAGCCATGCCCAAAGTTACGGCTGTTGTAGCACCCCCATGGTCACATGATCAAAATTCTGGCACTTGGCACCCTGTCCACACTTATGACCACAGGGACGCAGCGAGTCCCCCCACCCATCTCCCCCCATCTATGCCCCTCTGGCCGCCCTGCACAGTGCCACTCAGCAGCAGCAGTGCTGAGGCTGAAGCTGAAGTAGAGGCCCAGGGCATTCAGCAGTCTCAGCCAACTGCCACCGCTCCCCAGATCTCTACTTCAGCCCCAGTGCCACCACTGCCACTGAGAAATGCTGCATCAAGCCGCACACCATGGCCAGCCATCCCAGCACCATTGTGCAAAACCCCAGTTGCCCCCACTACCCTGCGTTTCACAGGCTCTGCTGTGCTCAGCTGACCTTTTGTGTTTTCCTCCTGCTGCTGGCAAGGCAGACCTGGCCTAACCCTACTGTATGCAAGGCAGCTGCTGGCCACGCCAGGCCTTCTTCCTGAGGCCACTCGCACCATTCTTCGAGTTTACTTAAGCATGTCAAGCCTTCCCCTCAGCTGTCCTTGAAGGCCGATAGAGGAAGATTCTTTACCCGGAGAGACAATGTCCCTGTGACTCTGGACACACATTGCTTCTCCAGTACCTGTATTACGTACTAACCTCATCTCACCAGTACTGTACTGTATAAATACCCACGGCGCACAGAACAATTCTACACCGCTGCTTTCAGATAGCAACCCTGCTACAACATACAATGTTGCCAGGTTCTGCACAGCAATGATTAAAATTTGTCAAATGATGACCTGTGCCATAACTAGTCTTAATGAGCATCTAGTTTGTCATACTAGAGTGCTCTGTAATTTGATATAGTCTGCCACATACTAACCTTTATGCCCCCTATACCCATCTAATACTCCTACCCCTCCTTTTAGATATATACTTGGTTTTATATTTGATGTATTTTTATGCTTTTTAATTGACTGTACCCCACCCTCCTTATGCTGGTCTTTGTCAGTAATAAATATTTGATTGAGAAGTATGAAGGGATCACATATTGGTATCACTGAGCAAACTGCTAATAAAGGCACAGGCGCAAGGTATGGTTATTTTAAAAAATGATACCTGAAATAAAGCTCCACTCATTATAAGTCATTATTATTATTCAAATTTATTATAGCCACCCATTCCAAAAGACTCTGGGTGGCTTACAACATCCAAATATGCAATTAGAAGAGTTAAAAACCTGACGTCCTAGACTAAAAACAACCATAACAACAAAAAATAAAACAAAAAAAACAACAGGGGCTCCCCAACACATGAATCCCAAATCTGGCAACAGAGCCAGGTCTTAAGGGCCTTCTGGAACCCAAAGAGAGTGGACACTGTCCGTATCTCTGGATAGATGCTGTTCCAGAGGGTGGGGCAGCGACGGAGAAAGCATACTTCCTCAGTCCCACAACATGATCACTTTTAATTGACTAGATGACAGGGAAAATGTGCATACTTGAGAAATTGCTGCCCAATCTTCTCCAAGTACTTTCCAGGACCTTTTTTTCACCCCTCAGATTTGGACAGTTTAGCTCAGGGGTTCTCAAACTACAGCCTGCGGGCCAGATACGGTCCGCCAGGGTCATTTATCCGGCCCGCCCGTCTGATTGGCTGCCGATGCTGTCTCTCAGAAGCGGAAGTGTCGGGGCTGTGTCGGGAGCTGCAGGTGATGCACGAGGAGGGAGATCACAGAGCCGGACTATTCTACATTACAGTTATGCCGGGTCCGGCGGCTCTCCTTGTACTCCGTGGGAGGGATCCTCCGTGCAGGGTGATCGGTGTGTTGTTCTCCAAGCTGCTTGTGTCATTCTTTCTCCCAATTGCCCATCCCGTTCTTGCAATCCCTCGGAAACCATCTGGTCTTCCCCAGGTTGCATGAGTACAGGCACCCTATTTGGAGAACGGCAGGAGCCCCATTTTCAGGGTACTTGGGGTTTGCATTTTATGTTCCTTCCTGTTTTACCCACACAATGGATTTCTTTGGGAAT